TGTCAACTGCACCACCATGCAATTCTCAGTGATGGTACTCAAAGAGATGCAGGGCAGGCAAAGATCATCTTCTGCAGTATTTGCCCTCCTGCAAATCCTGGCTATTTAGTACCCCCACTTCTAACACACATCAATCATTTAGAAGGTCACTGAGCAGACCATTGAAGTGTAGGGCGTTGTTGCTGCAGCTCCACACAATCCTTCGGAAAATAAGACACTTATGAGAAAAAAGAAAGTGAGCAGAGAACCCCCAAAGTCCTGAAAGGAAGCTTTTGGGCTTCCTTCTGGCACCCTGTGTATTCTTCCTTCCCCGTTTCTACTACTAGAACAAAGTAAGTTAAAGGGAATTTATTAAGAATGAAAAAAAAATTAAGAATCCTTCGGCTGATACTATGCATGTCCAAATTTAAAAATCAAGGAGGATTTTTTCAACAGTGCAGCTTTCTATAAAATAATGAGAAATTGCACATTTTCATTTCATGTTAACCAGATTCAGTACAAGTAGGATTTCTTTTGTTGGTTTACTGTGATTTAGCTGTCAGACAAATGTCTCACAGAACAGAAAGGAAAATGTAAAATATATCCCCAAGTTTCCATGTGTAACAAGCTATTATTCATAGAGAATAATTTTAAACATTAGTGCTTTTAGTCACCAAAAAAAAAAAAAAGCATTACCTGCTGATTCTGTGCTGCAGTCCCTGGGGCATTGACTGAATTTTGTGTTGCCCCCTAAGAAATAAGTACAAAACAGTTTTACAAAGGTGTTCTGTTAGAAACATGTAAGCATGCATCACCGCGTTTCTGTACAACTCAAGAAGGTTAAGGTTTTTCTTAAGCTACAATCCAAGGAACATGTGTTGCTTATATTTTTCCTGAAGGGAAACAAGGTACGTGAATTTTTCTGAACTCCAAAACAAGGCAATCAAACCAAAACACCAAAGAGAATCTGATCTCGCTAACGGCTGAGTCAGCAGACATAGCAAAACACTTTCTCCACATTACAAAATTTGGTTTAACACACAGGAAGGAAGTCTTATTGAAAATGAGGGCCTAGACAGGACAGAAATAATTGGAGAGAAATGGGTGTTTCTGCTGAGGACTCCAGTTCACCAAGGATAACTGAAGATATTACCATTATAGCTAGTAGCAATTATTTCTTCTTAAGAGATTTGTATATATCGACAGAGAAAAAATACTGAGAAATGTGAATATTCTACCTAGAAAATGTTGCTTATCTCCCCTGGATACCAACCTGTGCCTTAGCAGGAAGTGTAGTTAAATAACACAACATTCAAACTCTGTGCCTTGATATTTTCTGCTATGCTTCAGCAGATAAATTACTAAATGTTGTAAGTTTCAGCCAGGCCAGCTCTCAGTGGAGATACATTCCAAGCCAACTCCCTTTCATCTAGCTGTAAATTAATTGTCTCATTCCTATTTACCATTCTTCAGCGCCTATAGAATACACTGAAAGGAAAAGCTGGTTGAGCACTTGAATCTGGCATTAAAGACAAGCACACACCCCTCTTTTTCTTCCTTTCTTAGAAAGAGGTTAGTTTCCACTTGGTTTTATTTTAACTTTGCCCTATATCTTTATTTTTGTCTGGGAATAGGAAAGGAGGAAAAAAAACCCCAAACCAACCACCAGGTTGGAACAGCAAGGATTATATCATCAGCCCTCTCTCCTTCAATGTCTAGTTAGTGACCAAGAGCACTGGTCACTCACTGGTCACAATCATCTGCTCTATCAATAGAGCAGAAAATTAGGGAATTGAGAAGTACTAAAAGACAATACTTAGTCCTGGGGGAGAAATAAAAAATAAAAGTTCTTGTACGTGTTTGTTTTTATCTTTTTTTAAACAGAGAAGCAGCTTACCTGGATAACTTTTTTATTTGCTGCATTTGCTGACTGCTCCAGAGTTTTGGCCTTCTTCTTTTCCTTCCTCTTTTCTTTATCGGCAAAAGTACCACGCATTTTAGAGATGATATCAGAGTCTGTTTTTGCATACTGAATACGCTTTTCAAAAGGAAAAAACACACCAGTATATTCTTCAGTTCCTAATACTGAACATTTTGTACCACTTTCGTTAACTGTGCCTTACTGTACATTTACACATTTTTTGCAGCAGCTTCTTAAATTAACAGTACTGTTACAAACTGTAGGTATGCTTACAGAGTATCTAATCCTTATAATTAATTCTGAGCACAACTATGGAACTAAAAAACCCCTAAAATGGAAATTATTAATTCTAACTAAATGAAGTCAGAACTCTATTCATCTAACAGTATCTTTTTAACATCTGCCAAGGTAACAGATATATAAAGTGATATAAGGACATTTGACAAAATTGGCACTAGCTTATACTAACAAAAAAAAGAGTTTTTTTTTTAACCCCATTTTAAGGAGTGTTAAAATTTTACAGTGATTTCTCAGATCTCTGCAGAAAATACTGAGTTCAGCAAAACTCGGACTTCTTAAATAGAAGGGCAAGTACCTCCCTTAATCCAAACTGGATCACATGAATTGTGCCTGCAGCCCAATGATGCTGACAGAGGCTGCCCAACGCACTCGTCAGGAGGGTAAGCAGATTCAGCTACAAGTATACAGATGTGCAAATATACGCACATGTTCCTATTGCTTTCAGTATCAGAGACTGCCTCCATACAAAATTACACAGCAGCTGAAGATTGTTTTTTAAATCTGCTTTTGTTTAGTGCCTAGAGTATGCATGCTGCAAGCAATATTTAAAGAGGAAAGTACACCTGAAGGTTTATGAAGCCTTCATCTTCTTATTTGCTATCAAGTTTTACTGAGCATAAAACTCTTTAAGGGTAAACAACAGAACTGAGCTTGCATAATGCCTTGTTAAGGAATTAAGCAGAGAATCTGAAAGTGTTAATGAAAAAAAGCTCATGGCTCAGCAACACAACTGTCTCCTTAATGCTCAAAGACACAAGTTAAAAGCCAGTATTAATACATCCATCCATCACTGAAGTCAAGTGGGCCATTTGCACGTACTGTTACACCTCACAAGTAGTTACAAAATTAAGAAGTGCCTAATTATCCAAGCAAGCAACAATGTGTTAATTGTTATGCTATTCTGCACGTTATCAAGTACATTATTAAACTGCATTTGCTTCACTGTAGTTATACTGAATTTCAGTGTATTTGGTTTGGTGGCCTGGTGCATGCACAAGCAGAACGGGCCATCGATTTAAAACATAAGTTACTGGTCACATCTGATTTCTGGAAAATAAAACTGCAGATATCTTCGCCCTTCTCACTGTTAGCTCGAAAAGGAAACATAATTATGAACATAATAGTAATTAAGGTTATTCTAGATCAATTAACTGAAAGCACCTGATTTCAGTAACATTACAGAATTAAATTAATCGGTTCAACAGAAGACACAATGAGTAAAAAGGTAGTATTTAAGTTCTTAAAAATTTTAATCCAGCACAGAAAAAACGTAAAACCATCACTTAGGAAACTTAAAAGCTAAGTTCAACCTTGCAGTCTGGCATATATTCATCAGGACACGACAAGACTGAAGGACAGAACAACTGCACGTATATGTGACAGTTAATTCACAAGGTGCAAGTACCAAAACACTATCATTCCATGGCAACGTTTTGGGGTTTTCTTCTTTAAAAAGATAACAAAATAACTTACCATTGGTTTCCCATAAAACGGAAAGCCTTGTAGTTGTCTCAAAGCATTGGTAGACGACCCAAGTTCTTTAAATATAACAAAAGCCTGTCCTCTCATTTTCATAGTCTTTAAAGCCACAATGTCGACCACATGCCCAAACTGGGAGAATAATGCATACAGGGATCTTTTCAGTTCTGTTGACAGTATGAAAAAATACATTATAACAGGTTGCATGCAAATGTTCCCTGCTACAGAGTCTTCTGTCCTTCAGGGACAATAATTTTTGACAGTTTCAGCTCCCACAGTGATATGGTACAGGAGTTCGGCCAAAACTGTTGCAAGAGCACAAACTAATTTGCCCCGTTTTTGGAAGTTGGTGTATAATGCTGGGTTCCACACCTCAAGGATTCAGCTAGTCAAAAAGTTGTACCACCATCCATTCTGCCATTCTAAGAGAGTAAAAGTTACCCAAGGGTGTGCATATACGTATCTATATACACACACACTCTCCCACATTCAAGTATGAGGTAAGACAGCCAAAGACTGATCAGAAATAGTAAAGAGGTATGATGTAAAACAGGAATACAGCAAAACAGTCATTAATTAGAGGCTAATTTAATTTGGAAATCTTGTCTGTAACCATTTAATCAATTCTCATGCACATGAAATATTGTCATATTCTGGATCTCAGTATGTTTTTGTATGATCACACCGTACCTTACAACTGCAAAGGATTCATTTTCATTACTTAAAATCACCTGACTATGTGCCAAATTAAACCTTAATCTTACCCAATCAAGCTAAATAAATCCTCTGTATTCCGTGATTATTCTAACTCACAAATCTTGCATTCGATACATCTGAGCAACATAAGAGCACTGCATCTTGTTTACTGCTGTCGAGACTTTTAGTAACAGCCCACTGTCTTTCTCCAGCTCAGCTTGACCAACCACAGTGCCTTTTTTTTAAGTTTTCTTATTCTTAAAAATAACTTCAAAGCTGTATTAAAAAAAAATTACATTTGTAAGCTTTACAGGTAATTTGAAATCCTGCATTTAAAAATTACAACCATGCAATTCCATAAGGGAGACTGGTTAATAGGTGCTTAACATGCAACAAAGCCCCAGGTTAATTTTATCCAGTGGAACCATTTTAACAAGCTAGTAAGTAATTTCTCAGCAAAGCCATTTCCACTTTCAGATCTCTCTGAAGCAGCCTGAAGAAACACTTTAGTACTAGTCTGATCCAGCCACTCAGTTCACAAACAGTGACAAATAAGTTACCTTGATCACTTTAGATTACAAGCTAAGCATGAGTATGAAGCGGATGCAGACACTGAATATACAGCCAGAAAAGGGGAAGAGATTCTTCTTTTTTAGCACACTGAGGAGCTAAAATTCCTCATCGGTAAGTAACCTCCCTGGAGACAGCTGTAGTGACTACAAGACAGCGCCTCTAACAAAGCAAAGCAGGCTAGCTCGTGCCACGCGCACTGCTGTGGCACGGCGCTAAAACACAGGAGGCGCACACACACTCTCCCACGTCTCAGCAGAAGGGGACTGCTGACCACCGAAACGTACACCAACACGCCTGTTAGCGTCCATCGGATATCCTCGCTACTCCTATCGTTAACCGCTGCCAAGCAAACCTAACTTGCGCAGTTAGCTACGCAAGGACAGCAGAGAGGCCTTAGAGATACGGGCCCCAGTTTACCATTAACCTCCAACGTTGTGCGACACTTGTAAACTTCAGCTGCTTCTTCGTTATGAGCAGGCGGCTACAGAGAGCTCGGTACCCCATCACCACCCCTACGGCACTTCAGAGAGCCGAGCGAGGCCCCGAAGTCACGGCGCTGCCGCAAGG